CTTGCATTCATGTTTTCGGGATGGATCTCATTCTTGGTTGCACTCATGTAGGAAGTTAAATCAAATTTTGTGGAAGCAAGATGCCAAATTAAACTGATGCAGTCAGAATGGCAGGACGAGATTCAAAGGATAGGTAATGAATCTGATTTTACCCGAATTTCTTCTTGTCAGTAATTAAGGAATACATGGTAAATCTCCATCACCTATGGCAGTCCATCACGTTAAGGCCATGGAAGTTACTTCTTCTTCTTACCACAAGGTTCTCGAGGAAAATCGCTTACTTTACAATGAGGTCCAAGATCTTAAAGGTACCACCTGTTACATCCTTGCATTTGATTGTTACTACTTTCTGGTGTATTCACTCATGTTATCGCTGTACTGTAGGGACCATAAGAGTCTACTGCAGAGTCAGACCTTTCTTACCAGGACAAAAAGATGTGCAATCAACTGTGGATTATATTGGAGAAAATGGTAATATTATGATTGTCAATCCTTTTAAGCAGGAAAAAGATGCACGAAAAGTCTTTGCCTTCAACAAAGTATTTGGACAGAACGTCTCACAAGGTATGTTTTATTTTCTGTTATTGCAATGACGACCATCTAAAAGTGATTATATTCCTCAAAGATAGTTTGAGACTCTGTTTATGTGCGGCTTAGCTAGCAATTGGTTGGTTTTTTCATCATATTGATAAATGGTTTTTACTTGCTAGAACAAATATACACCGACACTCAACCTGTAATAAGGTCCGTCCTTGATGGATTCAATGTTTGCATCTTTGCGTACGGGCAAACTGGTTCAGGGAAAACATATACGATGGTATGGCCATTTCCATCTGCTTGCACTGTTATTTCTTATCCCTTGGACATGGATTTAGTTAGTCTCAATTTCTCTTGCAGAGTGGGCCAGATCTGATGACTGAGACAACTTGGGGCGTGAACTACCGAGCACTACGTGATCTTTTCCATATTTCAAATGCAAGAACGCATGTGGTGACTTATGAAATCGGAGTACAAATGATTGAAATATACAATGAACAAGTTAGAGATCTACTAGTCAGTGATGGTTCTTCCAGAAGATATCCTTTCATATAGCTTATAATGAAGAAATCTTTAGTTCTATTGAATTATCTGCATATTCCCTTCGACTTTTCCATGACCAGCTTCTCACATTAGACATACGCAATAATTCTCAACTCAATGGCCTTAATGTACCTGACGCAAGCCTGGTTCCAGTTTCTAGTACACGAGATGTTCTTGATTTGATGAGGATTGGCCAAAAGAATCGCGCAGTGGGCGCCACAGCTTTGAATGAGAGGAGCAGCCGCTCTCATAGGTAATTCTTTTGAACTGCTGTATATGATTATGTTATGTAATGGTTGTTGAACTGCTGTATATTGTACTGCAGTGTCTTAACGGTTCATGTCCAAGGAAAAGAGTTGGCCTCGGGATCCATTTTAAGAGGTTGCCTTCATCTAGTGGATTTGGCTGGAAGTGAAAGAGTAGAAAAATCTGAAGCTGTGGGTGAGAGACTCAAAGAAGCTCAACATATAAACAAATCGTTGTCTGCACTAGGAGATGTCATCTCAGCACTTGCACAAAAGAGTTCCCACGTTCCTTACAGAAATAGCAAGCTTACACAAGTTCTGCAGGATTCTTTAGGTAAATCATTTTTTTCATTGTGCTTTGTTTTCCTTTTGTAGCTTCATTCTCTCATCTATGAAATGATGTGCAGGTGGACAAGCCAAAACGTTAATGTTTGTGCATATTAACCCTGAAGTTAACGCGGTAGGAGAGACTATAAGCACCCTCAAGTTTGCACAAAGGGTTGCGTCCATTGAACTTGGAGCAGCTCGATCAAACAAGGAAACTGGTGAAATTCGAGATCTTAAAGATGAGGTCTCTATAGCAACAGTTTCATTTTCGTTGTGCAACTGAAAAAAAAAACTATATATTGTAAACAATGTTTCTTCCACATTTGTAGATTTCCAGCCTTAAATCTTCATTGGAGAAGAAGGAAGCAGAGCTGGAGCAATTGCGAGCAGGTAGCATCCTCCGGAACACGACTGAATGTCAGAAAGCAAGAGCAGTTTCTCCTTTCCATCTCCCAAGAACAAAGGCTGAGGCAAGTCCACAGCCAAATGAAACCTACGAGGTAATATCAATCACTCGGAGACTGGGTTCTTCTACTCATAAGTTGGCAAAAAAGACCGTTATCTAATCAGTTTGGTGAACGTGTTTTCACAGATCAGAAGTTGCTCAACTGGCAAGCAGAGAAAGTCAGGTTTTCCATCTGCACTGAGAAACAGAGAAGCAAGCCCAAAGATGCCGAATGTAGCAGAAGAGAGGCTAAATCCGAGATCGCCATCTCCTCCGAGTAGGAGGTCATTATCCACGGATAGAGGATCTTCCATCAAAAGCAGGAATAAGCCTGACGCCACTACTCAAAACCTTCCGGTTTCAAGAACACCTTTTCCAGCTAGAGTACAAGTAGCCAAATCCTTTTCAACTGTCCCATTGAACCCATCAGCTGAAAACAGGCTTCGTATAGATCCTCGTGATAACAACTCAGAGACATTGCAAAATCATCACAAGTTTAGTGCTCGAAAGCTCTTCCCTGAGATTGAGGAGCAACATATGAGGCATGCACTTAACATACGTGAAGGTAGTGTTAAGAAGACCAAAGCCGAAAGCAGTAAAGCCAAGCAGGCAAAGCAACCATCACCAGCTAGGTTTCAGAAACTCGATGTTGGGATCAGTTTGCGTTCTGAGGTGGATTCTGAAACAAAGGTCGGAAGTTACCAGACCCAGAAGGGGAACAACCACAATGTGATTCACTCAAGATTCCAAAACTTCGACGTGGGTATCAGCTTGTTCTCTGATCTCTGTGCCGGTGACAAATCAGATTCAACACTCAAGAGTGATTCATCAGAGACAGACAACGAGCATATACTCTTTGAACCACCCTTGAAACTGAAGAACGCTCAAAGAAACCTCTCCAGAAACTCCCAAAACCACAAACCAAGGTTACTATAAACTCTACAAGATTCTTTCACTACATATAATCAAACACTTGTTAACTTCCTTTCGTATACTGCACAGGGAAATCTATGCTCATGAGGAAACTTCACTCGAGGACGACAAGCCTTCAAATGATACAGCCCATACGAAAGAAGGTAATAGTAATGTATCTGTCCCTGAGTTCAAGAGAAGTCGTTCAACCAATCGTGTAAGGTTTATACCATAGAAAAACATGTCCAAGATCTATCTCATCAATCCATATCACACATATCATATCCTTTGTACAGACACGTTTGGTTTTTCTGGGTTTTGTCATGTCCTTTTACTCCATAGTTGTGACTGAGATTGAACAGTTTATCGTTGCGGAAGTTCTTGAGTTTTTTCTCCCCTCTAAATCGTGAATTGAAATTGATGTAAGCGTAATCGAAGACTCAAATTGGAACATTAGTTCACTCACTATATAATTTAAAATCATCATTAGAGCTAAAACGGTTTCGGTAGCAAACAAAAGAAAAACAAAATTGGTTTCTTTGTTTTTGGTGGACACAGAAGGAGCTCATGTACAG